CCTTCCCGCCGGCCCGGCCGTGCGGGCCCTGCCCAGTGCGGTGAAGGGGGCGCGGGGCGGGACGCGGGGCCGAACTCCTCCCGCCCGGCAGCGGTGCTCGAGAGGGTCCGGGAGAGGCGAGCGCCCCGCGCCGCCGGGGTCGGACTTCTCCGCTGGACTCCTCTCCCACTCTGTCTGTTAAAAATAAAGTTTCCGAGTAGACAGACGCAGGGTGTTCCAGAAGCCCTTTCCAGCGATCACGGTAGGGAGGAGTTGAGGACTGTTGTCCCGTGTGGAAAGCTAAGGGAAATCCTGAACTTCTGGAGGTGCTCACTCGCATCCATCCTTGAGCAGGACAAGCTGAACAACGGGTGGAGAAGACTATTCTAAAGTTTGTTATTGTAAACACTTCAAAAAAAGAAAAACTTTTTTTCTGTTTCTAAAAAATATTTGTGGCTCAAGGAGAGGCTTTCTGGGGTATTGCAGGTTATTCGAGCGTTTCCCAGTCACACCTGTGCAGAAATGTGATTGCTTTAATTATCACAACCTGTGGATGAAGCGAATGCAAAACACCTGTTCCTTGTCCAGTTTGACCTTCATATTTCTCAGCTGGGAGGGGTACTGGGCTTTTGGAGGCCATTTGTTGCTTGGTGTGTCATTGTGGCTGGGTTACCAAGGTCTAGGTGAACTCAAGGTTAATTGGAGTAGATGATTGATGAGATGTCCCCGAATGTCTGTTCAGTCTCTTACCCCCTCCACTAGAACTGTGTATAAATAGCCCTTGTAGAAAAACTTTAAATCTTGCAAGTTTCTTTTTGAACTCTCCGAGGCTTTTACAGGTACTTAGTAAATCTCTAAAATAGTAGTTTGCATATAAATGGTTTCAGGTGATGAGCAAAGGTAGACTAGGTCAGATATGATTGAATTAATCAGAAAATTCTAACTTACAGTCATGGGCACGTCTCACTTGTTAGGTTGCAGGCTTTGTAGAGCAAAGGTCTTGATGATCTCTGAATCATATGGTACTGCTGTGTAAATAGTGCTTTACTCACATGCTCACTGCACAAATCAGTTTCATGGCCTGGACATGTGAGTTCAGCTTCTTGGTTTTCAGTCATACACATCTAGACTAGTAAATTTATAAAATAAAGCCAGTAGAACATTGTGTGCATCTTCAGTGTATGTGTAACAATGTAGTCTGTGACAAAAGTGAAACAAACTCACAGTTTCACTTTTTGAGAAGTGTAAAGTTTAGCCCAGCTGACTTTTACTGTTCAAGAGTGAGTGGAGTCAATAGAAAAAGAAGATGAGATAAACCCGTGCAGTATGAGCAGGAAGGAAAGTTTTGTGTAAGGTAAACATGGGAGTACTGAGGAGAAATGAGACTGCAAGTGCACAAAAAGTTGATACAGAGGTGGGAATAAGCCATTTAGGGAGCTCACTGTGTTGAAATGCACTCAGTGTTGTCTGTATTTCAAAATAGCTTGGTTGATTTTAATGGTTGCAAGGGGTGTATTTTGAGTTTATTGTGTATTACATCTTTCTTTTACTGCTTCAATCCCTTTGTAATGTTAAGTCTTTATTATTATTGCAAAATCCTTTTTACAAAACGATTTTACTTTTTTTATTGTTGTTCTTTGCTGCAGTTATAGCCCCTTTTTAATTCAGATGCCTTTAGCATTGTTTTTCTAATTGGCGTTTCCTGGAGTTACAGAGCTGTCTCTTGGACCTCTTTTGTACCAGAGAGGTCTTCAGAGAGGTTCTGGAAGTTTATGCATTATTGCTAGAGTTCCCTTCTCTCCCTGAGTTTACCAAATTTATCTAGTTAGTTTAAAGTTTTACAGCTACAAGACTGTGTCTTACTTGAATTAGGCATTGCTTTGTTGTTTAAGAATGTAGCACTTATCTTTAGTAATACCACAATTCTTAGTTCCTGGAGTTCCTTCTTGGGAACTTTGTCCAGTGTTAATGGTTATCCATGAGATCCAGAATTCCTAATAAGCAGTTTTTAAATTTTAGCTTCTTTTTAGCTTTAGTTTGCTTTTACAGCTAAGAAAATCAGCTCTAGAGATACCTTTGTAGGTCCAGTTGTTTGGTGCTCTGCCTTGTGAATGTCTGTTTTGGCTTTGTTCCTGGAACTTCCAGTGGCTTTTCTAAAGGGAGACAAACTTCATTTTCCCAGGTGAAGTTTCTAGCATCCCATTTCGTATTGATGCATGTTTGGTGCATGGGGCTATGTAGAATTCACCTGCTGCATCTCTTGCATTTTTTGGAATCGCTTTTTGGTTGACCCATCTTGTGTTGCTGTGCCTGCCACATGTTTTAGTTAGAGCTGATTTCCTAATTCTGGTGTTATTAAGGAGTGTCCTTGGAGCAGGCTGCAGGCAGCCACCACTGAGGCCACGGATGTCAGTGAAGTAATGGGCTGTCCTCCCTCACGTGCAGCTGGATAGTAACTTCATCAAAATAACTACCTGTCCTATCACTGACTCATTGCAGGTTCTTAGTTTACAGGACCATTGACTAGATGGATTACCCTCTGGTTTTATTGCAGAGTCTTTATTATATCAAACAAAAGTCTGTTTGGTTTAATTTATTGAGAAAATTATTTAATGTATTTAGTGTATAAAATTCAGGCTCATGTAGAAATCTCGTTTGTCATCTAGATTTTTACCCATAATATATGTGACTTTATATTTATTTTAAATCTTGTGAATCTTGTCTTTATGTTCAGAAATGTCATCCATGAAGTGATGTTCTGGTGTGCATATTGTGTATATTCCCACAAATGTAAAATGTGAGATTATTGTTTTAGAAATAATACCTGATTATAACCAGTCTGTAATAACCAGTCTGCTCAAGCGACTTCTATTGCTCGTATTCATTTTGGCTAAAAACAATTATTTCTCAGTTTATTTTGGAATGATTTGATAGAATGATGGTGGTGGTGCAGTGCTTATTTAGGGAAAAAATGATAATATAAGCAGAAATAAGTGTGTGTTTAAAATGCATGAGTCTCCCTTTGGAAATTTGGAAACTTGAGGGTTTTCCAGGAGTATGGTCCACTTTACCCCATGACACAACTTGCTGGAGAGTGGGCTTTTTGCCACAAAGCCATGAATTTATTCTTCAAATAGTGACTAAAATTTCATAGCTTTTATTGCAAATGATGTATGAAACATAATCAAAAATACAGCATCTGATCTATAGTGGCAGTAAATATTTTGTTACTGGCAATTGGTTTCAAAGGACCTTAGAATATTTTATCACAGCAAGTAACCTTAAGCATAAGAGATTAAATGCAGAGCATTTCTACAAGAATCCTTATTGTTTTAATCAAAAGGGCAAATTATGATTCAGATTCTGCAAAATCTTATCTTTGTATTTTTATTTGTGCGCTGTGATTAGTTTCAGGGATTTGCATTCTGTGTTTGAAATTCAGTATGTTGGTAGGCTTTGTGGGGTTGAAGTCCAGATGCAAATTTTAGCCTTTCATATTTTCTGAAGGTTTTTTTATTTGAAGTTGTAGGCAAGTGCATGTTTGGCATGAGGGGAGATGGGGTTGGAATGTAAGTTAAAAAAAGTAGTATTTGGCTGTGCATCTTCAGCATTGTGTTAGTATTTGTTCCTTGGTTATATTAATTTACATGGTTTCCCTGGTATTCTGTCCTGCACTGATCATAACTTGAGTCTTCAGTTGGGCTTTACGTAGGGTAAAGAAACACTTGAGGGACAATACTCCTGTTCCCATTCAAAAATGCTTTCCCTGCCCTAGTATTAGTTTTGGAGGAAGAATGCTTTTCAAACATACATCTGAATATTAGAGAGGATGGTCTCAGAATTTAGAATATTTTGGTTTGCTTTTATGGCAGTTTTTTGCCTTTTTTTCTATCTTTTTTATTTCTTTCATTTTTGCTTTAGAAGTTCAAGTTTGTGCATGGATGGTGAATTGGTCAAAATAGTTATTTAAGGACCATTAGATTGTGATGGTAGACTAAGTGCTGAAATGTTTTAAAGTAAAAGAGGGAAAAATTAACCTGATGCCTATAAAGATTTCTCCTAGTGTGTTTTCAGGCTGTGAGTCCCTGCTGCTTAATTTTCAGAAAACCAAGTAAATATTTATTTGCAACTGTTGATTTCCTCGTGTCTTATTCTTGCTTGTCTGATCATCAGTCTTTAGGGTACTTGCTTAAATTGATCAACTGAGCTTGAATGTAATATGTTAAAATGTTCTTCTGAATTTTGTTCAGTATTTTCCTGTGGAGTTTCAGTTTAAGCACAGCATGTTACAGACAACCTGAAGTCAAGCCAGTTTGTCTTTTTTTGTATCACCTAATGTATTCTCTTAATAAAAATTATCTAGAATGAACCTGTTTTTATACAGCCTTGGATGCTCAGAGGAACAGTTTTTCACTTCAATGCTAAGTTCCCAACTCGTGTGTGTCTCCCTTCCTTTCCAGGCGTCGGTGCTCCGGCGGTCTCAGAGCACCTTGGTCGTGGCAGAACACAACAATGAATCTCTCACGCCCATTACCCTCAATACCATCACTGCGGCAAAGCGCCTGGGAGGGGAGGTTTCTTGTTTGGTGGCTGGTACCAGCTGTGACAAGGTAGGAAATGCTCTTCTCATACCAATGAAATAATGAATGCAGTGAAACAATACTTGGCAGCGTCTTGCGCAGCCTGAAAAATAATCTGTACTGAGGAAAAACTGTGCCAGGAGTTGCTAATCTGCCAGAAAAGTCCTGCACTTGGAACTGCTTCTCTTCAAAATAGAAAATAAGGATATAGATTTCATTTCACAGGGGACAGTATCAATAACGGTTGTTACATGCTTGAGCAAGCAAATTTTTATAGGACTAAAGGACAATTAACTTTTAAAACAAGATACGTCTCTGTAAAGTTTAAATGACAAATACTGCAGTGCTAAGAATTTGGAAAGAAGTTTGTGCTTGTTTAAATGGAAACCAGCAGAAGTGAAACAACAGTGGTGAATTGGGCTTTTGAGCTAGTTGTTTTTACTAACCAATCACTAGTTGTCTAGAGAGTGTTTGCAGCCTGAAATTCTGAAATGAGTGCTTCTTGACTTTATCACACAGCTCTGTAACACATAACTGTAAGAAGTTATGTTACACGTATGTTAGCTGTGTATTTTTAGTGTAATTTTTGTGTGCCCATCCTAGAGACAATGTTAGTACATTAGTGGCACTTCTATTCCAGCATGACTTGGTATTGTGTGAGCAGTAGAAGTACAAAAAACTGTTCCAAATACTTAAATACTGTTTATGAACTGTTATTTTGAAAGCAACATGTACAATCTCGTGAAGGAGGCATACTTAGAGCAGCTTATTCACAAATAAGTGGAGAAACGTCAGGAGCCATTCAGGTGTTTGAGGTGGAGATGAAGCAAATATTTATCTAAATCAAGAAAATGAGAAAGAAAAAAAGAAATAATTGCCTGATGTGTGTCTTTAATTTTCCTTATTCTATGCACTTGCATAGGAGAAAAATTACTGCGAAAGGCTTGTTTGTTGGTTTGTTTTCATGCTAAATGTATGGAGTCTGCAGGAAATTATGGTGGAAAAAAGGATTTAAAAAAAAAAGAAGGTTTTTAGAGATTTTTATTTAAGAGCCAGTGACTCAAACAGATACTCTGCAGCAGCTATTAGGGATTTTTTCTTTATTTCCTTTTGTTAATTTTTGAGGGTAAACTGATACTCATCAAACTCAGTAAAACTGCGCTGGTTCTCAGACAATGCATGTGGTCTCCAGACCTTGCTGTCAGTCCTCTTTTCTCTGATCTGTAGTAACCCTTTTATCATTTAAACTTCACTTGTGCCAATTCAAACGAAAAAAAATGCATAAATATAAATTGAAAATACACATTGCTTCAGTGGGCAAAAAGTCAGATGCAAACAAAGGGTTGCTCCTAGAATTTGGACAAAATTCATAACAGCGTTTTGTACATTTATATTTGTTTGTATGGTAGATACTGACTGATCTAAAAGAAAGTAGGTTTGGTTTCTTGGTGAATTTACTGGAATGCTGAGCAATAGTCCTGAAGTGTGGTTGTTGTCGGCTGCTGTAAGAAATGCTGGGATCGGTGTGGAGCCCTGCTTGCAGGAGGCAAGTTTTCCTACGTTTGATTTGTTCTGTAGTTCTCTTACTCACAAATTCATTTTCATTATTCCATGAGGTGCTATGTTGTGGATCAGCAGATGTGCATTCTATTCCATTCAGGTTTATTCTGATTTTGGAATTAGTGTACTTTTGGTTCTGGTTTTACTAATCTATAGGCTGTGAGCTATTTGCAGTGGGAACTCCCTTGTTATATGTTTGTGGTGCCTGTTAAAACACAAACTAATAATAATTCACTTGTAATCACAGGTAGCATCAGAACTCAGCAAAGTGCAGGGTGTCGCAAAAGTTCTCGTGGCTCAGCATGATGTGTACAAGGGATTTCTAGCAGGTGAGAGTTGTTCTTACCTATTGACAAAAGAAATTTGTTTATGTATTTTTGGTCTAAAAGAAGATAGTTATAAATTCTGAATAATTTTTTTTATTCTCAGAGGAGCTGACTCCCTTGATTGTGGAAACTCATAAAAAATTTAATTACACCCACATTTGTGCTGGAGCATCTGCCTTTGGGAAGGTAAGTAGATCAAAGAGCATCAAAAAATTCTTGCAGAGAAGAGGCAGATGCTGCTGTATGTAAGAGTGTGAATCAAAGGCCTGAGAGAGATTAGCCATGGACAGTTTTGTATTTGCAAACTGCTTTACAGTAGTTTGCTTAAGAGTTCAGTAGTTAGATTTCATGATTCTTCTTAGAGTTCTTTTATGAGCTGATGTGAAAAAAATAGCATAGAAGAAATATTCTGTGGTAACCTGCCAATCCTATGGATACAAGACAAAATGTACAATAAGGCAAACCAGATTAAGTGATCTGAAAGCATGAAAATTGTAAGGAAAAGCACAGCAAATCAAGATGAAAAATCTGTTATTTGCATGTTGAAATGAAAGTGTGCAGACCTATTGGAAGCAAACTTTTTTTTGGAGTGGGATTTGCATCTGTGCTATAAGTCATGTACATTGAAATGTCTGTAAACATATATAAATAACACTGATCTAAGTCCCAGCCAGAATGGATTTAATGAGAATACAATTTTTCAAAACTTGTTGGTTTTTTTTTTTAAGGAATGTATTTATAAGTACATGGAGAGCCTCAGTACAAAGAATCTGGGCAACACTGTGGTGCAGCTAAATTAGAGAAAAAGGATTCTTCAGAAACCTTACTGATGTAGGACGAGTACTGGCATTGGCTTTCCATGTGACTACTTTCACTTCCAATCAATATCAATCCATATGTTTGTATTTTTGCTAAGAGAAATCTTGATGTACCTTAAGCCTTAAGTTTTTAAATTTTATTTTTTTTATTATTATTTTTTTTAGCTGCAGTGTTATAGTAGCAGTTAATGGCTTTTGCTTTAATGCTTACACTGCCATTTTTGAGTACTTCGTGTGAGTAAAGATTTCAGAACTGGGCCCTTTTTTACTACCAGAAAGGAGGCAGACAAAAAGCAAACAATCATTCTACTGATTTCTTTGTCATTTCTGCTGCTCTTTTTATCCTCCTTCCCACTCCTAAAGGTGCTAAGTAATTTTCTAGAGTAAATTTTGGAGAAAAATAATATATACTTTAATATTAAACTTTAATTTTTTTTTTTATTTTTTTTTTGCTTTGGAGGGAAGAGTTTTTTCCTATCATTTTTGGCATCTTACTTCCAAAATGCACCTTTTTTTTCTTGAAGTGCCAAGAGCTCAGCAATCCATAACTGTCAATTTTCTGAGTAAATGGCATCTATATTCAGTTCTAGAATATTTGAAGCAAATAAGCCTTCTAATTTAAGATATTGAATTAAGGGTTTGCTTACAGTAAGTCTCATAAAATGTCTAATGTTATTACAGTAATGGGGTTTTATTTGGCTGCTAAAGATACATGAGCAACCCTTCAGAAATCTTAGTTCTGTATGTCTTAGAGGACAGCATTATATGACACTAAAATCGGGTCAGCAGTGTTCTTTTACTGACCACGTACATTTTACTTAGCACTTACTTTGCTAACTTTTCATCTCTAACTTCTAGAATCTTATTCCCAGAGTGGCTGGCAAACTTGATGTTGCCCCTGTTTCTGACATTATTGAAATTAAGTCACCAGATACTTTTGTGAGAACTATCTATGCAGGTGGGTAATCGCAAAAGCTGCGTGGTATTTGTCGCATGAAGAATCCAGTACTGCTAATTTTTCTACGTGATCCTAATGTTAAAACCTTGGACTATGATAGGAATTTTCACTTTACAATCTCAATTGCTGTGTTTCAAAGAAATGAAGCCTAGGGATGGACGTGATGCTCCCCGTGTGAGAAAGCAAGTAATTTCAGATTTGGTAGAAACATGTCAAACCCCAGTCTGTCACCTTAAGGAATAGAATTTGGTCACATCCTTTCCCTGTACTGTGTTTGTTAATGCCTTTCTGATTAGATTTTGGAAAGCATAAGGCAGCAGGTTAATTGTCCAGCTTTATTTAATAGGACTAGCATTAGTTCTTATTTAAGATACCCCATGGTTATTTTTTCTAATTATGGAGGCATTGAACAAATTACTTATAATATTTAATTAACTTAATTTGTACTTATTTTTTCAGTCTTGTTTCTCTAATGCATGGCTGACACTGTGTTTTATTTTAGATATGAGCTCATTAGCTTGTGTTTCTTAATTTTACTGTAAAGATTGTACCACGTGTACCAGCAGGGTATTACATTTTGAGTTATGGTACTGGAATGTGGTTTTGTGCTGCACTTTAAGTTGCTTCCCAGTAATTCACAATTTCAAGATGACTTTGTTTATGAATAGTTTGTTTAGAAAAATGTTGCAGCTTTTTTTCTTTTAGCGTTCCATGCAGCCTCCAGTGTGAAGTATTGTATTATATTATAGAGAGAAACACAGTCCCACAAATACTGAGGGGAGGCCTCATTGTCTTCAGTTCTGATGAATTCATGCAACAGGATAACAGATCTACTTTGAATTATAGACATACTTTAAGTGTAAGAATGGCATTTTCAAAGTTGTATTTTTCATCCCTTCTGAAATTTAAAAGTGCATTCATAAGAGATGATTTGAATGCTTTGTATCCTTTAAAAATAGAGGATTTGTATTCATACTTTAGAAAGATGGGGCTAAAATGTAAATTAAAGTACTTGTAATCTCTGCTTATTAGGTGCTAAATTTTAGTCATCTAAAACTTCAGTTTTGGGAAATACCTTGATGGATGTTGCATATTCTAGTGCAACTGCTAATGTGGTTTTGATATTGTTTATTTGTTGTTTTTTTTTTTTAAGTACAGTATGTCTTATAATCTTAAAATTTTTAATGTGACTTTTTTAGGAAATATTATTTGTACTGTGCAGTGTGATGAAGCAGTCAAAGTGTTTACTGTTCGGGGAACCTCATTTGAGGCTGCACCAGCGAGTGGTGGTAGTGCCAGTGTAGAAAAGTGTGAGTATTTGTTCTGGCATGCTGTTGTTTTATTTAATAGAGTTAGTTTTGCTCACCACATGGTAATGTCTGTAGAAGTATTTGTCAAAGCAAACTGATTGTCATAATGTTAGCTTTACACTTTTAATTACAGGTGCTTGCACTTTTTAGTGATGTTTGGTAAGAGAAGATACGGATCATCTGCACGATTGCTTCCTTTTCTTTGACCAGAAATGGAGATTATCTGTGCTGAAATCTGTGCTTGTTCCACTCGCTGCCTAAACTTCCACCCTGCAATCTTAAATCCTTTATGGACAAGTTACAGCTGTTTGAATAACCAGATTGGTTTTCAAAACAAGACTGAGGAAAAATAGAAGTGTTTGGCTCGCCACAGTTTTGGTTTAATGATATTGCAATTGAGCTAGGTCTTTACATCATTAAGCTAGACTAGCGGCAGTTTAAATTGATTTGAGAACACCCAGTTGTTGTTTTAGATCAGTTTTAACTATATCAGTCTGATTTACAATTTAATGAAGTCAGTGTAGCTCTGATAATTGAGAAATCCAGTCACAGAATGACAGAGTAGTTGAGGTTGGAAGGGATCTCTAGATCTAGTCCAGCCCCATGGAACAGATTGTGCAGGACTCTGTTCAGTCAGGCTTTGAGAATGTCCAAAGGTGGAGACTTCACAACTACTCTGGGTAACCTGTTCCTCTTTTGGTGACCTCTGCTGTTTTTCACTGTGGGCCTTTTTGTTTTGTGGCTTAGTCCCTGCCTCTGAGCCATCCTGTATTTCCTAATGTGGATGGTAGAAGTCAAACGTTACTGAAGCTAGCGTATTGCACTGTTGGTGCATTGCCTGATTGACTTTTCTGCCTGTAAGAAAAGGCTCACACTTCTTATGCTGGGTTGGTATCCGTGTGTAACACTTCCACAGCAGAATTCCCTTTAGTGCAGTTTGTACTGTAGGTTCCCTAAACACAACTGGTGAACGAGGCTCTTTACTCAGAGCCAGGAGCAACTGCTGAGACTCATCAAAAGCTTGCGGCAGAATCGGTTATAGAATGAACTTTGAATTAAGCTTAAACTCAGATTTCAGCTTGAAAACACATGCTTTCTCATTTTCCTTGTGGGTGTTTGGTTCATCTGGTGACTGCAGTGACCCCTCCACCACCCGTCGGTATCTCTGAATGGATTGAGCAGAAGCTGACAAAGAGCGATCGACCGGAGCTCACCAGTGCAAAAGTGGTTGTATCAGGGGGTGAGTGGATCACATTAAAACTGTCTGATGTTGGAGTCATGGTACCTCTTGGTAAATCCTATCTGTAGCAGAACATTGTAATGTGATTAAAAAAAAAAAGAAAATTATAATGTGATTCTGAAATATTCCATGGGGCTGCTGAGGAAGCACCCAACATGGATATTTTGTAAAGAGGTGAAACATGAGTTTAGCGTATGCTGGGAGGCTTTGTAAGCCCATTGTTGTATTTGGTGAGCCTCTTTAAAATGTTCACAATATGAAGTGTTTTTTAGATGGAAATTTATCATATTTACAATTACTGCTGATCATTTCAGTCAATCCAAACTTTATTATGTAATGACCTTAATGATTTTAAAACCTGTACTGATAATATTCTGCTCCTTAGGTATCAAGTGATGGACTGTAATTTTTACTGTATGCCTACAGCTAAAATGATTTCTTACTAATCACACTACAGTGTTTTGTTCCTGAAGCCAGCAGAGGGAGCACAAATTAGTTAAAAAAATGCTGTTTCCCTGGTTTTGGAGAATGACCTTGATAGTGCTGTGTGCAGGAAGTAAACAACACAGAGTGGTGTTGGTTTATACATATGAAATATTAATGGCAAAGACAGAAGCTAAATCTCCAAATACTAAATATTGGTTAGTAATGTATCCAAAAATGCCCTGTGCAAGCACGTCTTTGCAAATGCTAATACTCATACTGAAAGTTTATATAGGCAAAAAAATGAATCTTAAAACACATGTTCTTCTTTCTTGTTCTTCTTTTGTTGTTCATTTTTAAGGGAGGGGCTTGAAGAGTGGTGAAAATTTTAAGTTGTTGTATGACCTTGCGGATCAATTGCATGCTGCAGGTAAACTTGTTTTCCTCTATTTTTTTTAACCCTGTTTACTATATCTAAACAGGTCACATTAAAATTGGAATTCTTCTTAAGTCTTTTATTTTCTCTATCAAATGGTTAAAATGCTCTTAGTTTAGTAATACATAAAGTTTTGTCAACTGAAATCTCTGTGTGTGAAGCAAAATACTAACCTGTAGTATTCCCTGTGCTTCTCAAATCTCCAGAACAGAAGCTTGCAAACAAAATGTGAAATTGTCATAGCTCATTTTGAAGAGCTGATACCTTCTGCAGGCATCCTTTTCAACTGCTTCTTTACAGAGTCCCACCCACACTGCCGTAGTTCGAGTGGCTCTGTCCTTTTGCTGTGCTTTTGTATTAACAGGAGAAAATCAACCATACACAATGTTTCAGTGAAGTATTTTGTATAAAGGTTGGGAAATAAGGAGAAACTGTTTGCTTTAATGTTTTAACTCTATTAATTTTAGCATTCACATTTATAGTTTTACATGATTGGCTTAGTTTTTAAATTGGTGTTTTGCTAACTAAATGTCCATATGGCACTGTCGAGTTTACTTTGATATTTTTCTTTACCATGCCTGACTTTTGAGTTTTACAGCAATATAAGATGGCACATATGTTCCATTCAGACTTGAAGGAACATTTTGGGAAGGCATTTATGGGAAAATCTTCTTTTGACAAAGCAACATGAAAAAATCATGGAAATATGCCAGATTGAAATCCTTGGTTTTAAATATATGGCCTTTGGTGCTGGGAGTAGGGATTTCCTGTTGCTTATGAAGTGCATTAGCACTTAGTATTTGGAAGTTTTTAGCTAGTGGTATAGAGAGGGATTACCATAAGAGCTTTTAAAAGGGAAGTTTTTAAATACGTGCTCTTAGAGTGTGGGACTCTTCAGTAAAATACATGGGCTTTTATGGTGATATAAATTTGGCTCACAAATATTTTAAAAGAAAACACTGAAAATATTTTCTTTCAACTAGTTGGAGCTTCCCGTGCAGCTGTTGATGCTGGCTTTGTTCCTAATGACATGCAAGTTGGACAGACAGGCAAAATAGTAGCACCAGTAAGTATGGAAATATCTCTCATCATAGAGCTGGGATGGTTTCTAGCATGCATTTTCTTTCAGAGCAAGCATGCAGAGATGAGCTGAGTCTTAATACTGGGCCTAACAGGAACATCACTATGCCCACTGTGAAATTGTCACTTGACGTTGCATTTGCAAAATGACAGAAGCAAGCTGGGATGGAAATCTTTCCTCTGGGTCAGTGGGGTGTGTTCTGACACAGCTTTGTCGGGGCTTTGCGTGCTGCATTTCTTCATAGCTGCCTGAACCTTTTTTTAGCTTCTTAACAGCTGGCATTGATATGCTAAAAGATGTCATTACTGACATAAACTCAAAATTATATCAATCTGTGGCTTGATCTCTTGTAATTTTGTGTTCTGGGCTTTTCCAGGTGATGATTTTTAAAAAACTTTTAGTAACTGTTATTGGATTATTGCAGTACAGTCAAAGCAAAATTTTTGTAAGAAATGAAAACGCAAGAAATTTAAGAGAGGAATAATCAACATATTGGCTGCTGTAGAGTGACATACCCAGAAGGACATATTTTAAATGGCTTAATATTGGGCAATAACATGCTGCATGTCATCTTCTGCTATTTCTGCATCCCAATATCACAGGGAACTGATTTCTGTCTTTTTGTGTCTGTGTGGGGCTTTCTGTCCTGCAGAAATCTGAGACTTCTTTCATTGTTCTTTTTGACCTGAGGACATACAAGGAAAGTTGTAGCCAGATGAAGCACATTTGAGTGTTTGTAAATAGGAAAGTTACAAATGTGGCTCACCTCAGTGTGGGGCAGAGCCCCTAATGAGATGTGATGATCTGTCAGGGGTACACTGAGCTCCACGGTGGAGCAAAGCAGTAAAGCAGCTCTTTGTGTATGGCAACAGAAGGCACCAAGGAGCAACTTTTTACTTGATAATGGCTTAATGAGACCAGAAGGGAGGAGTGAGCTGAAACTTTGTAGACAAACTCATATTTCAATTGCTGCATTTACCAAATCATAATAATTTAAATAATATTAAAAAGCTGTGCATGTTCAAAGCCTTCCTAGGCTCCTGTAATGTTTTGCATTTGCCATTGCTGCAAATGTAAGAAATTCAAACCATGACCATTATTTTTCTAGTAATACATTCAGCAGGATAGAGTAATAACTTGCATGTCAAAGACAGGAACTTGTGATTCTGTTGTAAACTCTGATGGATTTTCTTGAACAAGATGTTTCATGTTTCTGATTTCTTCTGCCTTGAGTTGTGGATAGGGATGTTTGCTGCTTTTTTCAAAGTCCTCATCAGAGGCCATCTGATGATTACCCTTTGGAGCTGAGTGGAGCTATTTCTAGGCATGCTAGTGTTCAAATCTGTAAATCTATATGATAACCAACTGCTACAAAACACTCCTTCTGAGAAGTAGACCTACTGATAAGACTAAGGTTATCCAAAAATCTTGATAGAAGAGATATTAACCTCTGCTGTGTAAGCAAACTGGGAGGTTCTGTGGATTATAAATGCAACCCCAACTCCTTCTGCTTACCAGGGTATAAGCTAAGTGCTATTTAAGTGTGTATTTTGAAAGGGCATGAGATGAGACTAACCATCCTTAGTTCTTCATTACCAAATATCCTTTAATGAAGTGGAGAATATTAATTTGAAGACAGCTCAGCTCTGGTTTGTGTGTTAGGGCTCAACAATGAACATTCTTTCCAGAGTCAAGGGCATATAAACAATCATGTTGAAACAAAAAAGCCTGGTTTTTGATGATGATACAATGCTGTGTTTTGCCACAGATGGCCCATAGCAGCATGTGAGAGTCATAAGAACATAAAGCCACATCATAGGATCACATCAGTGTCATCATTGTCCTCTTCTTGAGGATTATTAAGAGCCTTCAGTCAGGACTGATGAATTAAAGTTAAACTCTGGTGTCATAAATTGTCTAAACAACTGCATGGTGTGCCATCTATTTGTCTGCAGGCTGATGCATTTTTCTCTCAGTTCTTAACAAGTGTTTATTAAATAGTGAGTTGTGCAGAGTACTGGAGATTATATACCTCTCCTTTCAGATTTCAGATATTTAGTCTGGATCTTAAAATACACGCAAGGATAGCATCCAGTGCCTTGGAAATAGAGAAAATATTAAATGTTAATTGTACTAAAAGTGCAATTTGAATTGATACTAAGCCCACACAGTTGCTGACTAGAGGTTTTAATTTTTGTGTGCTGGATAGGCATCTCAAATATGAAGCAGTTGAAAGCTGCAAATTGTTAATTTAACATTCCTATTTCTACTTCACTGTCTTTTTGGTACTTCAGCTAGAAAACTACTCTCTGCAGTGGAAAATAGAGTTGACTTGAAGAAGAACTGAGCTTTTTTGGTCAGGCCAAAATGACACTGGCTATTTTAGTAATTCTCAGAATATGCTGTTTTCTCCTTGTGTGAGACAGGCTCAGTATCCGTTCAGGGAGTGCTTGTGATGTTCTACCTGGAGAATTACAAAGCGGATTTGAACACTGGTCTGATAGAGTAGCTGAGACCTGAGTTTTGTGTTCAGTTTTGAGCTGACATGGTGTGTGCCCTCTGGGTGCCTGGGTTTTAAGCAGGGGAAGAGTCTCAGATGCAAGAAACTCTAGGAGTCTGAGCCACGCTTGTTCTCGTGTGCAGCTGTTGGCTTCTGATGGGAAAGTATCTTAGTGTGTGCTCTTACACTTCTATTAATAGTCTCTTGCCCAGTCTCAGTGGAGGATTGGAATGCATTGTTTTCCAGGACTCTGGAATTGGGTCAGTTTGAGACTACAGAGGAACAAGGGTTTGTTACAAGCTCAGGAAGAGGGGAGGTGCTTCCACTGCTTTTCCTGTGTGACTGCTGGGGTGTGTTTGTACTCATTGCTGGGTAATAAGATAATGGTCTAAAAGGGCTGCTTATTCTTCCCCTGTGCCTTCAGTTGTGGATTTGGGGAATGAAGGGTAGTTTTGGTCATTGGTCCTTCATAATTCTGTGACTGCTTTCAGTTTTTAAGAGTGCAGCCCAAACAGTGCATCACAGGATCCAAGAACCTCACAGCCACAGCAGCGTTCCAGAATTAGGTATTAATTTTAACTGAGGTATTAATACACAAACACACTGCCATTCAATGAACAACTGGAGTTCATTTTACTTAAGTGATGGAAGAATGCAGTTAATTAAAGAGCACAGATTTCACCTTGTGTCTGTCTGAGCCCTGGTTCTATGCAGCACATCTGCTCTTCTGAAGTAGCCTTGGACTGTTAGACTTCAAGGTTTTGTTCATGTTGGTGTTCATGTGTATTGTTGGGTTTTGACTGGATCTTTGGCAATTTCTCCTTTGTACAGTTTGAGTCCAGTTGTTAAAATACCCAGTGTATATTTTTTGTTTCTGTTAGTACCTTTTTTTTTAACCTCTTGATTTCAGGTGATTGCAGCTCCTATTTGAATATTCTGTCTTATGAAAGAGAAGGCTGATTTGTATTATTTGATGAGATGGAAGGAAGGAAATTTTTAGACATAAGTGGATATATTAAAATATAAAATGTTTTCTTCCTAATTAAAAAAAGCAATTTAGTATATTTAGTGTCTTTAATCAGTGACAACCATTTTAGCATATTTTTTACAATTAGAAGCCAGTTTTTCCCACTATTTCTTATATGCAGGTGTTTTGCAGAAAAATTAAATTTGATTCTCAGGTTAAGTACTGTATGTAGTTTCTGTTTAAGGAAAAAGCCCTGTAAGAATGTTCAAATTTGCTGGTTTTGGATAAAAATATCCTTCCTATGTGTGCCTACTACTAAATATTAGTTAAGTATATCTAGTTAGAAAATATTAAACTCCCTACAGAAATCAAGGCTACCACCATTACCCCAGAGTAACTGCTATTTTTAGATAAGAAATTTCAAATAGTCAGGGGTGTTAGTTTCCTTAGTAAAAATCTTCCCAGTTTTCTCTCTCATATTCACAATAGAGAAATAATAATAAAATTCATAATAAAGAAAGAAACAAGAACAAAACAGGTGTGGAAAAGAAAGAAAGTAAAAAAATACTTTTCAGATATTTAAAATTTTTGTAAACTAAACACGAATGCTTCATTTATTAGTTCAGTATAAGCTTTCCTTACCCAAGGCATAGTTAGCAACATTTCTAACGTGGAAAGCAGCATGTAATCTTTCTCAGGAACTTGTGCAATTTGTCTGATATTCAACCAAAAAATAAACTGACTTGTAAAAAAAGGAAAGCAGCTGCTCTAAATCTTTCCTGGGTTCTGTTGTTGTTGAACTGGGCTCTCTGCAGCTCAGGCTGGTGAGAAAGGAGGTGTGATGGTCACTGATGGGGAATCCAGTGCCATTGAGTCAGCTGGGAAGTGAAAAGTGCATTCCCAGGGCTGCTGGGGACTGTGTGGGACCTGGCCACTTCCTTCTGGAGCAGCATCCACGATCCAGGTGGGAAGTGCTACAGTGGAGTGCCACTAGGCAGCTATCTCTGAATGCCCAAACTGTTCCCATGCTTTCCCAGGTTTTCCTTTGCAGCCTATTCTAATTAATTATATCCTTCCCCAAGGTTTTGAAGGAAGGTAGGCTTGTACTGGGTTTATCTCACACGAAACTTCTTGTCCCCAGAAAACAGCCAGAACCTCAGTGACACTGAGAGGTGCTTTTTTGGCAAGCATGTGTGTATTTTGTTACCCTCTGACCTTGTGAAGGATCAGCTGCTACCTGAAAGGTGTCCTTCTAGTTTATTCTCTTCAGAGTTTAAATGTTCACTCTTCTAAAATTAGTGCTCTTTCAGGGTCTAACTCTAGAACTGCCTTAGTTTTGCTGTAGGATTTCGTAGCTGGCAAAATGACTTTATTTTTTTAAATTTTATTTTTTATTTTAAGGAGTTCAGTTGCTGCTGTCTTGTTACTTTCAACATTGGGTACAAAACACTAGTAGACAACACAAAACAGAGGTGGAAAACTCAGGAAGGCACAAGTTAGGAAATACGTGATGTAGTA